AAAACATTGCTCATTTACCATCATTTTGTTAGAGGAAATTTAAACAAAAAAAAATCTGTAGTTTATACGATTGAAGAAAATTCACCCTAAGTTTTCAAAAGTAATACTATACCTCCTCTGTTTCAATCTTTGTTCTAATCGTCTAAATATTTTTTTATTGTGTACATATAAGTTCTTCATCGAACTAATTCATAGAAGATTAAATGAAGGAGTCAATTGACGCTTTCAAAATCTTATCATGTTTCTCGTCAATCAGGCAAACTTTACAGGAATTTCCCGTAATTTATTATATTTATTATGAATTAATGACTATATTGATTTTATATTATGTAGAACTATTTGACGAATAAAGCTTTAAAAGGCGTGCAAGATTTGCTACCGGCTATGGCTGAAGGCGAGCTTGCATCAGTATGTTCATGGGCAGATCAGATGAGATTCAAATATCGGTGGGCAAGCCCACTACATTATGCTAATACCCCAGGACTCTGCAATTTCAAGTACTCAAGTACGTGTATTTTTTTCTAATCAGTTAATGAATTATATTGATTTCTAGTTAGCTACGTATAAAACGTCTTCTTATAATAGCAAACCATTCTCTTTCCCATACATAAACATACAAAATTGGGAAGCTTAAGAGTAAAAAAATGCAAATTTTGACTACTAAGTATTTTCTTTCTGTGATTAAAGTACAAAAGATTAGATGCATATATATTAGTTATGCATATATCAAATATTGTCGCTTGAAAGACCTTGCAAACATGCAAGAGAGATGATACTCATGTTCTTTTTCTTGGTTAAGGGGATTGCCACAATTCCAAGGGAGAGAGAGATATGTGTGTTGCCGGAGCAATCAACAACTATACTGCTCAGCTCCAAAACAACCAAGATCCATCAAATACATGTAACGAAAATTTCTCTCAAATTTAAACTCTTTACAGTACCTATTCTTGATCTTGACAAAACTTACTCAAATATGTACTTTCTAATTTTGACAGATAATTTGACTGAGAGCCTCATGTTTCTTGCCCACTTTGTGGGAGATATCCACCAACCTCTGCATGTAAGTTTTGAGTCCGATGAAGGCGGAAATACGATAATAGTCCATTGGTACCGGAGGAAGAGCAATCTTCATCATGTAATAACTTCAACATTCTTTTTTGTAATGTTACTATGTATTAGCATAATTCTGTTGATGTTGCGATTACTAATATTAAGTTTTGGTATGATGCAAGGTGTGGGATGTAAATATAATTGAGACAGCGATGAAAGACTTTTATAACGGTGACCGTGACACGATGATAGAGTCAATCAAAATGAACATAACTGTAAGTTTTGTTATTGATATGTCAATGTCGTGGAGCGATCTATGAAAATTAGTCAAATTTGAGAGATCTAAGTAACTGGGATTTGGAAGCTTCTCGTGATATTCTTCTCTTTCGCAGTCGGATGCAATCGATGAGTGGGCGTGCCACAGAAAATCAGCTCCTTGTACTGAGAAGTAAGATAAAGACTCTAATATTTGGCATTTAAAAGGCCAAAAATATTTTCTTCTGATCTATTAATGTTATTTTTTGGCGGGTAAATTTCACCGAAACGCTCTACTTTTACGGTTTTGAGATAACACCCTTAAACGTTATAAATGTCGCTTTAAGCCCCCTTAAGGAGTTAAAATGATTATAAAGGATTTGAAAGGAGTTTGTTCCCCCTTTTTTTTTTAATTTTTGGTCCAATCAGGGGCATTTAGAAGCCTGGTCAGACCTAACATTGTTAGTTAGGGGTTAACTGACAAAAACTTAGCGGGTCAAGTGAGATTTATAAAGTTAGGGGGTATCATAGAAAGGACCAAAGTTAAGTGGGGTTTTGTGAAATTTACCCTTTCGTATGAAGTAAATATATTTAGTTTTTATATATAATTTTACTTTGTAAATATCTCGATGATGAGCCAAGAAATAAAATCTGAAAATCATATTGAAATGTTTTGTAGGTATGCATCGGAGAGCATACGACTTTCTTGTGAATATGCATACAAGGATGTAGAACAAGATTCTACACTAGAAGGTAAAAAGAAAATTGTTCCCTGCAATATGGCTACCTTTATTATAACTTCGTCACAATTAAGTAGATTAATCATGTAAAAAAATTAAATTTTTGTGGTGCCGCAGATGATTATTTTTTCTCTAGGCTTCCTGTGGTTGAGGAGAGATTAGCTCAAGGGGGTGTGAGATTGGCTGCTATACTTAATAAAATCTTTGATGCAAATTCTCATGAAGGAGTTTTGGAGGAAATTAATGCAAAGAGAACTGATACAGCACGTTACAGTGGAGAAGAAAACAGTTAAAAGGTGCCCTGTTCCTTCACAAATAAGCATCGTTAATTTTCCATTTAGTCCCTCTATTAAGTGCTAATTGTTCCAAAAGAATTGTAATTGAGTGGTAATTCTGTGATAATAATACTTTCTTTTAGCGTCCTCTACTTTTTTCAATAAATTGATTTTAATACTGATATTGCGAGCAATTTAGAGAATTTTTGGATTCTCTCCACTTACAGAGTTACAGTTGTGACTAATTTGAAGCCAACACTTGCTATTGTTAACAACCGAAAACCTAATTAATCTGCACACATCGACAATACAGAGAACAAATAAAATTAAAGAAACAATCACAAAGATGCAAAGATTTTTAATGAAGTTTCGTAATTAAATAAGGTGATTACCTATGTCCTTGGTTGCAACTAGGGCAATTAAGTATTATAAAAAATAGAAAGGAGAGAGGAGAGAGGGAGAGAACTCTTACAATCCTAATCATGTCAGCCTAATCAATCTCTTGTACGGCAATTGTTCTTTATTTAAAACTATTAACGAGATCAAATCCAAATAGGAATCTAATTTTAGATTCCGTCCCTACCAGTAAATTGAAATGTTAGGGGCACACTCCTAACCACAATCTCAACCACACCTCCTCTCCCTCTATAGTGCATTGGGCCCCACATCAAATTTTTTTTTAAAATTTGATGTGGGGTCCAATGCACTATAGAGGGAGAGGAGGGGTGGTGAAGAGTGTGGTTGGGGGTGTGCCCCTAACACCACTCACCAGTAAAAGCCACTGCGGGCTATCCTCTCGTACGTGAGCAAATGTTGTTGATGCCAACGCTGGCAGTTTGTGCTCTCTAGTCGAAATCTAGTCGACTAGGGATCTTCACCACGTGTGGGTTAATCAGATCCTGGTCACTCATACATAATTACATACCATCTTTGATATCATCGGGTTACGGTGACGATATAATTACTAACATCCTTCATATCTTCCACTACTCCGAGGTTAACTAGAATTTGTCTATTCTTACAATCATGGGTGCGATATCACATGTCAACCGTCCTAGAATATTCTAGCATCCGGACTTTGATGGGCGACTCTAACCTCAGTTGTTCTCTCGACACTTTCAAACTTCACATTATGATTCCTCCTTGGGTTGAATGGCTAATGGCAAGTGAGAGAGACAATGAAAAGAGCACTACCTGATATTTTTACTCTTGGTGTGACAACGATGAGCTGGCTTTAGGGGTGTTCAAATGACCAGTTGGCCCGGTGTCGGGCCTGGGATTGGCCCGGAAACCCGGGCCAGACCGGGTTTCAGGCCCAGGTACGGGTTGCCTCGTCGGCACTCGCCCGGTCGAGAAAATCGTCCGGGCAAAATAACTGGGTCGGGCGGCCCGGCCCGATGCCTGGCCCGGGCACAACGGACACCTAAGGTGACCGTTGCGAAAAAAAAACTGTGCTCGGCCCGGCATAAACGCGTCACAAATGTGACCGTTTTAACGCGTCACATTAGCGACCGTTGTGGCCGGCCAGTCACAATTTGACCCTTTTCGTCGGGTCGGCCGCCATAACCGCGCCAAAATGCGCTGTTTTGACTGTTTTGCCCCTAAAACAGTCATATGGTGAGGGTATTTTGGACATTTGCCTAGGGGGCTGCCTCTATAGATAGAAGGGGTTTTATTTATTTTCCTCGCACCAAAACTCATCCAGTTCTCTCTTATACACTCTTATACTCTCTTATACTCTCTAATAATCTCTTATACTCTCTAATTCTTTAATCAAATGGCTTCCGGATCTGATTATGAAAAGCAAAACCTATCTCCTAATTTTGAAACGAGTCCTCCTACCGGGTTTACTCCTACTGATCCTACCAATGTTAATCCCGGATCCGGTGGCGATGATTCTACATCAAGAGCTCCTAAAAGGCCGAGATCCGATGTGTGGAATTTTTACGAGAAGATAGACGTTACCAAGGATGAACACGGTAGGATCCTCACTTAGAAGGCTAAATGTGCGTTGTACGGCAAGATTTTCCAAGCTCATCATAAGAGCGACACCAGCCACCTCAAACGCCATTTAGATAAACACAACAGAGGCCAGACGCCTCAAGGTGATATCCGACAATCTATGATCTCGCAATACTCAACTTCTGGTAGTATCGAAAGTTGGAGTTATGACGCAGCTCATGCCAGAAAATGTGTCATCAGGTTTATCATTCTTAAGAATATTCCTTTAAGATTAGTAGAAGATGATGAATTTAAAGATTTATTTACAGATGGTTTTTACCCGCATTTAAAAAACTTTCTCGTCAAACTTGTCAACTTGATATTTTAAAATATTATCATGAGGAACAAGTAAAAATAATTTCTTATTTTTAAAGTTTAAACTGTAAATTTTCTTTAACTTATGATATTTGGACATCTAGAGCACAAACTAGTTATTTATGCATCACTGCATACTGGATTGATAAAAATTAGCAAATATTTAAAAAATGTGTTTCCTTTATTGCAATTGAAGAGTCACATACTGATATTAATATTATAAATTTAATAATTGAAGAACTTATGAAACTTAAAATTTTAGAAAGAATATTTTTTCTTTCACTAGATAATGCAAGTAATAATAATGTAGCTATTGATTTTATTAAAACAACTCTGTCATTACCATATCATTGTGATATTTTTCATATTAGATGCATCTGTCATACTTTAAATTTAATTGATCAAAGTGTATTTACTGAAATTAAACTCATGATAAAAAAGGTTAGGTCAGTAACTTATATGCATAATGCTTCTGAACAAAGAATTAGAAGATGGAAATAATTCTATAAACGAAAAAATATAAAGCCCAGACTAATTCCAAAAGATGTTGACCATAGGTGGAATTTCACCTATGCAATGTTAAGTGTAGCATTAGAATATAAAGAAATTATAAATAATTTTATTGCTTATTATTCTTCTAGTTCTAGTTCTGGTAGCACCTATGGAATAGTGAAGAGGAATGGACAATTATAAGTGATTTAAAAGAGATGTAACAAATTTTTTATGATACTACAATGTTATTATCTGGCTGTTATTATCCAACCATTACTTTAGCTGCTTTACAAAATTTTTTATGATACTACAATGTTATTATCTGGCTGTTATTATCCAACCATTACTTTAGCTGCTTTACAAATTTTAAATATTCTATCTGGCTGTTATTATCCAACCATTACTTTAGCTGCTTTACAAATTTTAAATATTCAATTTTTTTTTGGAAAATATCGTATGGATGATACTTTTGGAGCTATAATTTTTAAATGAAGAGCAAATTTAATAAGTATTTTAGGCCTATTCCTCATATTTTTGGTTTGGAGGTTCTTATTGATCTGCAATTGAAGGATATTGACCTTCGAAGTTTGTTACAATCCTTATATGATAATCAGATTATAGATTTAGATGATGGATCCACCATTACTATTACTTCTCATCATATTGCTATTAGAAATTATTTTCAAACCTTATATGATGAGTATGCAACTAAACATGGTGTAGCTGCACAGCAGTCTATAGTTTCGGCTTCTTCGAGCTCAAGTCGAGGTAAAAATATAAGTTTTGATAGGTATGCAATGGTAGTTGAACTAACTGGTGGATTTGGACTTGGATCATCATTGGAGATTTCTGAAATAGATGAATATTTATCTTCTTCTTTAGTTAAATGTCAAAATAATAATGTAGATATTTTACAATGGTGGAGAGTATATAGATCAGTTCCATATTATATACTTTCCACCATTGTTCGTGACTTACTAACAGTGCAGGTTTCGACGGTAGCTTCGTAATCCACCTTTAGTATAGCAGGACGTTTGATCGACGACCACAGGATATCGCTAGATCCGTATACTGTACAGGCGGTGATGTGCTTACAAGATTGGTGAAGGTACGAGAAGAGAACACAAAGCATCAATCGGCTAGCTAGAATTGAAGATAAATTTAAAGAATTGGCACTAGCAGATATATATAAAGATTAAATAATATTCATCAAATTATAATTTTTATTTCTTAGTTAAATTTTGTAATGAATTATTTTGGAAACAGTTACAAATGATAGTGATATAGGTGAGTAGGTGTCAACCTAGTTGGGATGTACTCATCTATTGTGATGCGACGAATTCCGAAATAAATTTATACTTGTAAAAGATTTACTAATTATTAATAAAGAAGTTATTTCTATCATCTGAATTTTTTATAATTTTTTGTATTTATAATTTATGCAATTTCAAGTGATTAATAATATTATTGTTTTTTATTAAAATTTTGTGTAATTTTTTTATGTCAAATTGGAGCTTTAAAGAGATTTTAAAAAAAAATCGGACCGGCCTAGAGTCCAGCCCGGGGCAACCGGGCCCGGGTCTGGGTTCCGGTTTTGCTCGGCCCGGACCCGGCTTTCCGGTCCGGGTCGGGCCGGCCCGAATGGACACTCCTAACTGGCTTTCTTAGTTTCAGAAGATTATAGCCCTGTCCAGAATGAATGTTATATCCACTGAAGCTACAAAGGTTGATGGGGAAGTTGGGTAAGAAGGTGAAAAGCAAGCTACCAATGATAGTCATAGTGCAATTTACCTTGCAAGGAGTTCTGCATTTCATGTAAGAGCTAAGCATATTTACTCGTGATATTATTTTATGCGCTCTCCGTGGAAGAATAACGAATTGAATTTTGGTAAGTATGAGGGCAACAAGAATCTAGCAGACATGCTGGATAAATGTGCTTGTGGATGTGGAAAGTGTATATATATCACCGGATTATAATTGAACTCCTACGAAATTTCATCCCGACTACGGAAGGATCTCGGGTCACACTAACCCATGAAGGTTGAAGGGTTGGGGGGTCCAAAGTCTGGATCGAGGAGCAAATTCTCTGAAAGAATAAAGTAGTTAAAAACTACACTGTGAGTATATTTTTTGATCCTATGGATAGAAACCTTGTGCTATAAGTTTGTATCTTCTTCCACCTATTACTTTTTTATATCCAAAAAAGGGAGAAAGTAGACACAATAAGGTTTTGAGATTGATTATAATTGCTAAAAGAGGGTAATAATTGCTAAGAAAGGCTGCAACACAAGATGTCACACTTCTTGGGGCTGAACCACATGAGAAAAAAGTGGTTGCAGCACATGAATATATTGCTTTTGGGGTCTTGACATAATTTTCCCTTTTTTCCTTCAATAAATTTTAGATTTTTTTTATGACGCCTTTGGCGTACATAGAATTGAAACAAGGCCTCCCACGAGGAAGCGATACGGCTTTTGCCATGTGATCTACTAAGCCACCCCCAATAAATTCTAGGTATTTAAGTGCAAATAACCATAAAATAAACGGAAATACTACATTGGAGGCAATACAGATAATTACATATGCAAAGGGGCATAATATAAAACCACCTCTCGGACAGCCCAATAATTTTTTTTTTACTTTTTATTAGTGGGTAATACTTTACCTAATTCATAATTATAGCTAATTAAATTTGCAATAAGAAGGTAGCTTACATACTTGAATACT